GCAAATTAACAGTAAAGGCAAGAAATGAGGGCCCTTAATACTTTCTATTCTGTGCCCAGACTTGGGAACCCAATCAGATTTTGAAACTCCACTAGGGTTGGGGCCATTCTAATCCCCAAGGTGAGAATATTCTACAGAGTAGGGGCTACTGAGAAAGGTTTGTCTTCTAGTCTGTGCTTATCGACACTCCCTGGCAGATGGGGTCTGCAACATGCCTGATCTGCTAGATTGAATTGGACAGATAGAGACTCTTGGAAAAAGGCGCAGTCCCAAGCTATATACTGGTAGGTCTTTAAAGGTGACAACCAGCACCTTGAATTGCATCTGGAAACCCACCAGTAACTAATGCAGCTCATGCATGAGTGCTGCATATTTGGTATCATTTACCACATGCATTCTGTATCAGTTATAGCTCTGTATCTTTTTCCCTTTCAAAAACTAAATAGGTAGGAATGGATTCAGAGTATTGCTTCCACAAATGGACAAGCTCCTTTTATTTGTGGAAAGGAAAGCAGAGTTCCACTGGATAAAAGGATGAGAAAATGTCTTACTCTTCAAGAAAGTATTTGGGGGAAAATAGTGAAAACTGCCTTTTCTCTTTTCTGTGTGACTATTTTATGCTTCTGCTGATAGGAAATCTGAATCCAAGCCATGGCATGTGTTCCCTTACATTTACAATGAAAAGGGGGTGTTAGCATTCTCAGAATATATTTTTCCTTGAACTTCCGAACTTCTGTTCTTTGAATATTTTGAAGAAACAATTTGCTGAAATGCAGACATCTGACTTAATTGCAAAACATATTTAGAAAGTTTAGTGAATTATCTTTACAAGACCCAAGTTCTTTAAATTTACTTGTAACTCATGGTCGAAGTCACTTGTTGTAACTCATCAGAAAATGTACTGTCTCTTAAAACAGTAGCTTTGCATCTATATGCATTGCAAAACTGAATGCTGTTTAGGAAAAAAGAAACTGAAACAAGAAAATTATGGACACTGATATCCTATTCACTTTGGAAGAACTACATCTTTACATAAAAAGCATAACATAATCTACCAAAAACTATTCAGAACCATTAGTTACTTTCTCAGTTAAAAATACACACTGGTAATATTAAAGGGCAGTACTAGCATATACAAATTACTTAAGGGATAATTGGGAACCAAGTATTGCAGCAAATTAGAATGCAACAATAATGTATGCATGTTATCTGACAGCATCCACTGTATTTCTAGAACTCACCACAAAAGTGCATCTAAAACAATCCAGGGATCACCTGAAACACGTGTGTGTGTGTGTGTGTGTGTGTGTGTGTGTGTGTGTGAGAGAGAGAGAGAGAGAGAAGGGGGGGGAGGGGGAGAGAGAGAGAGAGAGAAGGAGGAGGAGAGAGAGACCCTCAACTTGAAACATTAAGATGTTCTAAAGGAGACTGCTTAGACCCTGGAAATGATTCTGCCACTAGATTATTACAAAAATGCATGGAATCTTTACTCTAATCATTCAATATTAGATCGTACCTCTGTAATAGCAATATTACAACTAAAGCATATGGAAATTGGGGGATTCAAATTGAAGAGAAAAAAACCAGGACTCACAAAACAACATATGCAAAACTATATTACAAGCACACAGAACAAATAATTGCCATAGTAATCATTTGGAAGCCTGTAGTGAATACTTCAGAGTTCATAGAAGCATGTAAGTTCTCATTTGCCCATTTACAGAAAGAGCAGTATTGTAATGCTTCAATTTCCAGATTTTCACAGCTTCCCATTCCTTTGCTCGGAGACAACTAAGTTTTCTGCTTATGGGGACCTAGTGCTAAAAGTCAAAGCTCCTTTAAGTCAGGTTCACAGGTAATGACAAGTTCACGTCATTCTTGAAAACAGTCCACAATACTGTCTTTTCCTAATGGCGATATGGAAATGGCTCACCATTCCTTTTTTCCAGAGTACTTTTTTCAATGTTCCATTCTATACTGTCACCCAAATTAAATTCTGATGGTTTCTTATCTAAATATTAATCTGAGCTGACCTTGTTTAATTTTGTTATAATTAGCCAATATTTGTTGGACACTGCCACTTGCTGTAGACAGTTCACTCTTAGTTTATAGGCCAAAATCTGTTCAAGAATCATAGTAGTAAATGATTTACCACAAAAGCAACCAAAATCCTTTGAGGATTTATCTGTATGCCTGTTTATGTACACAAATACAAACACACAAGTTCCTATGATGTGTATATCAAGTAACGCAAATTATAGACAAATGCAAATTGATATACCCACTACTTTTTAAATCAGTCCTATAGAGGAACCCAAAGCAAGACGCACATATGGAAATATATACTGTAGCTTCAAAATGCTGCCTTTCTCCCTCAAAAAAATTGAACTAAGACAAATACATAATTACACTTTAGCAATGAAATGGATGGATGTATTATAAGTAAAATAATATATATAATGCAGGACTCCAAAAATCACAGAACACTTTTGAAGCAATACTTATTTTGTTTGTTTTTCTCTCCAACTTCACCAGGATTTAGAGAAAGAAACATACAAGTAATTCTATATCAGGGAATATATCCAATTAAAACCTGTCCAGAACAGAAGACTTCCATAAATAAATTGATTGTAAAGAACAAATAATTGTCAATTCAGAATACTATGGTAATATGAAAGACGTAATGGACAATAATCATTGATGTAATCCTCTCAGGCACGTATTTTACTTAATAGAGACGTAAAAGTATAAAGAATTAACATATGCATAGGCCAAAGAATGACATGCATTGTTTCCTGACTGTTGTAATCCAACTTTAAAAACAAACGCAAGAAACAAACATCTATGTCATTCTTTTATTATATCTTAATATCACTTCTTGGATCTTTGGAACACCAAATAATAATTAGCACAGCAGATTTTGTAGCATGCCACAAACACTTCTTATAGTACAAACCTCCCAGCCTGCTGGAATAATTACTGAAGTATTCTCCTTTGTCCTAATTGCAAATATGAGATGACTAAAAATATTGCCAGAATGAAAGTGTAAACAATTCTAACTTGAGACTACAACATGGACATCGTTTTAGGCACTTTTGTGACCCTAGAAAGGAAGCTTCAAACTGATGTCTAGATAGCAAATTTTAATTATTCAAAAAGGTTGATGACTGTATCTCAGATACAGATATCCAGAAGCTATCCATCGGGATATTTTGTGGGTTGCTGCTAAGTAAAGTGCAAGACTACCTAGGAGATATAAAGTTGCTTTGCCCTAGGATACAAATCAGAGGCACATTACTTAATAGTGGTAATTGACTTACATCATCTCAACTCAAATACCAAGCAAACATCTCTGAATCCTGTTACAAGAAGCTATTTGAAAGTATGAACCCAGAACCTTACACACACTTTTAACATTTCTAAGAACTTTGCTTAAACTATTAACCTATTCCTTCTAATGCTATCTATAGTAACAGGCATTCTCCAGAGTTTTAAACACAAGTTTAAGTAATTCTACCAGGAGATATAAGCAATAGAACCTGGCATCTTCTGCTTGTATATCACGAGACATATGATCTCAGATGATCTGAGGTGCTTCCAAAACTAAATGAGTGTTTGTTAGTACTAAGCAATTTTTAATGAAAGATTGGTTCCAAATCTTCTGCCTGCCAAGTTATTATTCCTCTGCTGACTTCCCAATGTTTTATTTAAAATAATGTATAGCTATGTTTGCAACACACTTGCACAGAGATTCAAACTAAACAGGGAATGACAAAGTCTGATCTTTCCTCTTCCAAAGTTTAAAGCAATATACTTCTATCAAATCTAGTAACTCAGATTATAAAGTGTCTCCTGCCTTTTAATTTATTCTTCCTTTATATTTCATATACGCAAATTACCATCTTGTAAAAGTATCAAAAGTTAATTATACTCATTGTGCTATCATCCTATCCCTAAAAATACAGTCTAGTAAATGGTAACTAATATTTGTAAAAATAGCGCTGTAGCATATTAACTGTGTTTTCCTTTTGCTGATGATAAGAGGAGTATGGATTTAATTGCATGGTTGATGGTTTGTCAGTGTTTTATTTAGCTTTATTTTGTTGCTATATCAATATGGCATCAATAGTGAGATAGAGTACAGTCCTCAAGTTACAACCATTCATTTAGCAACTGAGAAAGTTGCACGCACAACTACTGAAGGCAAGCTATTTACTGATTGTTTCTGTCAGGAAATTTCCCATTATTTCTAGGTTGGTTCTCTCCTGGATTAGTTTCCATCCATTGCTTCTTGTCCTGCCTTCACATCTTTGGAGAATAGGTTGATCTCCTCTTCTTTGTGGCAACCCCTTAAATATTGGAACATTGCTATTATGCCACCCTTAATTCTTCTTTTCATTAAACTAGAGATACCCAATTCCTGCAACCCTTCTTCATATGCAACATCCAAGTCTAAAACAAAACAAATATCCAACTGCATTTAATAGATGGAATCCCACAAAAAAGGAAAAGCACACTCAAATACAAACTAAGCTCATTGCAATATTTTTGTGTGTAAATTTGTCACTACAGATAACACATTGTTTTGTTTTCGTTTCCCACTAAAAAGTTTAACATGCACAAATCGGCCTTCCCCATGAAAAATGATGAAGGGTTTCTTCCAAACTGCACTTTTCATTTATACTGATGATTAGTACTTCAAATAAAGGAATACTATTTCTTCTTCCTCGCAGATTAAAAAAAAAAAACATTTTTGAAACCAACTGGGTGAAAAGTTTATTCCTACTCGAATTGCAAATGAAATTTAACAACCGTTACCTGGCAATTCAATCCTCTTCAGAGTTAAAATCTCTTTGGGGAAAAAAATCAGCTGGGTTAAATCAGCGCGCAGTTGCCCCCAAGTACGTAACAAGGTGAAGCTTCAGTTAAGACCTGACCTCTTTTTGTGCCCTTTTGCCCTCTTTTCCCTTCTCTCCCAATGAGGCCGCATCAACACTTACCTGGTTAAACTCCTCGTCGGCGTAGATATCAATGAGGTCTACTCCTTCCGACATAGTTTCAGGAGCGCCACGGAGAGAATCGGGGGGAAGGGGGGGGAAGAGCGGCACTGCGGGTCAAAGTAAAGAACCGGGTTAACGCGGACCACACGGATAACCTTTCTGGCGCGGCTACGAACCGGGCTTGGCCCTCCTCCTCCTCCTCCTCCTCCGCCGGCAGCAAGGCGGGCCTAGGACCGCGAAACAACCCCGCCCCCCTTCGCTCCGCGCGCATCTGAGGGCCCCGCAAGAGGAGGAGGAGGAGGAGGGGGCGCGGCGGGGAGAGGTGGGAAACGGAGCACCCCCCCCCCCCCCCACGTCGGCGCCATAACTGCGGCCGGTCGCTCGCGGCAGCCATCGCCTCCCGCTTTCCCGCGCTGGTGAGAAGAGACCCCGCCATTCCTCCTCCCCCCCCTCCCCCCCCGGAAGGGTCACCACCACACCGCCGGCGAAAAACCTCATCTCTCCCCAATGTTAGGCGTCCCCGTTATACCGCGTAAAGGCCCACAATCCCAAGCAGGCCCAAAACGCGCGCGAACCTCTCTCTCTCTTTCACTCCACCACAGTAAGGGCCTCCTCCGCCCCGCCCCTTCCGGCTTGTCGAATCCCGCCTGTTCCGGTTTTCTAATGCTTCTCCACGCAAGAAAGTAACGAAGACCAAAACTTCCTATTTGGTTCCCTTTCCCGGCGGCGTTCGACGGGTGGCCGTTTTCGAACGGGACCGAATTAAGACGCATGCGCGAACGAGCTCTCTATGGCTAGCTGAAGAAAGAAAGCGCATCCTGGTTCGCGTCACCTTGTACGTCTATGGTCGAGAGCGAACGATAGAGTAGCTCGGGGAGAAAGGCAGGATGGCGGCTCTAATGGTTCGGGTGAGTGTGGGAGGCGGACCGGGAGGACCGGGGAAGGGTCGTTATTTCTGAAGGACGGTCGCTCGTATCTCTCTCTCTCTCTCTCTCTTTCCTCGCAGCGCTTCTTGCTGCTGCCCGGCTGTCTCTCCCGCTCGCCCAAGTGTGGCTACCGCGGGGATTCTCCGTCTGATTCTGGGAAGGACCTGCTGGAGATCCCGCTCCCTCCCTGGCAGGCTCGGCCACACGAGCCCCTGGCGAGCAAGCGCGCCAGGCTCTTATACGAGAGCCGCAAGAGAGGCATGTTGGAGAACTGCCTGCTGCTCAGGTGGGCGGAGCGGTTTTGCTTCTCTCCTTCCCAGCCGGCGTACAGGTAGTCCTCGACTTACGACAACTCCTTTGGTGACCGCTCAAGACGGCACGGAAAAAAGTGGCTGATGACCGTTTTTCACACTTGCGACCTTTGCGGCGGGCCCCATGGTCACGTGATCGAAATTCAGATGCTTGGCAAGTGGTTCATCCCTTACGACCATTGCTGTGTCCCAAGGTCATGGGATTCCCCTTTTGGCAAGCAACATCATTGGGGAAGCCAAATTCACTTAGCAGTCGTTGGACTAACTTAACAATTGCAGTGATTCACTTAATAACTGTGGCAGGAAAGGTCGTAAAACGGGGCACAATTTGCTTAACAAATGTCTTACTTAACAACAGATATTTTGGGCTCAATTGTGGCCATAAGTTGAGGATTACCTGTACTTAGAATCGCTAGTCCAGGGTTCCCCAATTTTAATTTTTACTACTGTATTATTTAGCTGAGACCCTTTTGGGATAGGCTAAATGCTAATTTTACAATAACTATGTTTGAATATTGTGCTAATCACCACTCTTCATAACTTTTACTGGGACTCCTGCCCTGAGATATTCAGCAGAGTATGGAGCAGCACTTAACAAATCGAAAAGTGATAGCAGGATCAGATGTGGTTAATATTTGGATGGAAGACACCAGGAAACTAAGCCAGAATAAATCAGAACTGTAAAACAGAATAATTCTGCAATGCCACAATTGCATATACATATTGCTTCTATATGAGCATAGATTAGCAATCAAGTTCAACTTGAGAAGTTTTTTCTTATTTTATTTCCTGCTAAGCAGGCTAAAGTTTTTCTTACCAAGTTTTCTTTCATCAAGTTTACTGTGTGAACTCCCTATTCAGTGACAGCTAACCTTTTCTGGACCGAGTGCCCAAAGTGTGTGCAAATGCACACACGCATTCAACACCCCAAAATGGAATGTGCATGTGATCCCCGTGCATGCGCCCTGCCTGCACGCACGCCCCCACGCATGCCCCCCATGCAAGTGTGCACAGCCTACCACAGCCCCCCTGCGCATGTGCACACATCCCCCGCATGCGCCCCATCCCCTGCGCATGCGCGGCAGAGACCCAACAACCAGCTGGCTGATGGGAGGCATGCGCACATGCGCAGCAGAGCTGAACTTGGGCAATGGCTTGCGTGCCCACAGAGGGGGTGCTGCGTGCCACCTGTGGCACGCGTGCCATAAGTTCGCCATCAAGGCCCTAAGTCCTACCCCTGGAGGACTAATTTGTCCTGTAAAGCAATCTAAATTAGTAGCCATTAGTATTTTCCCTGTAAAATTTTGGGATTAAATATGTGCTGTCTGACATAATCTGTTCTTTTGTCTCCTCAAAGTCAACACAGAAGCATGCATTGTGCACAAAGACTTCCTTAGTACAGATGTTTTTGTTGTGATTATAGATGCCTCTACAAATATTACTTGGGCATCTTCAGATGAGGTAGATTTGGTCTCTGCCTCTTCGAATGATAATGGACAGATAGAGTTAATTAGAATCTAAGAGAGATAAGAGAGGATTATCTATCCTATAAATATATAGGAAAATTCAGGTTGTTTTCCTGTTGGTATGTTTGAGATGTGTTTTTGATTCTTTTTTCATTTTGTGTATACTGACTTCGTATGAGCTTAGCACTGTTTTGGCATTTTACAGTACTCTTTAATTGTTTTTAATAGTTTATTTGCCAAAGAGAATCTGAATCAAATGAATGAACAACAACTGGACCTTTATGACCGCCTAATAAATGAGCCAAGCAATGATTGGGACATATACTCCTGGGCAACAGGTAATGTAGAACAGTGTGTTTTGGAGCCAGCAGACTACAGCTCTCAACGTATTTCTAATCTCACAATAGTGAGTAAAGCAGTATAGGTAATATTTGAGCCTCTGTTTCTTATCTTTATTCTATATTTCAGGGATCTTAAAGACAGACCTTAAAAAACTATAAAAGATATGCATGGGCATTGAAATTTTATGGGAATTTGAAATACAATGTTACCTTGGAGCAGAATAGATACAGCAAAATGGTTAAGAACACCATTTGCTATTTTGACAACTAAGAGACTATACAATCCTGTGCATATCTATTAAAAAGTACAGTTGTGGAAATAGTTTGTGAGTCCATTAAACTCTCCATATTATTTACAATTCTATTGTGATATACAATATTAACTGCAGGATTATAGATAGAACTGAAAAGTTCACAGATGTTTATCTTTGTAAGGTGCACTGGGTTTATTTAGAGCTTTTTCCAGGTTAAGAGGTCTAGTACTGTAACTAAAAGATTGGATCCTTATTTATGCTTAAAATATCTATCTGCTAAAATAAATACAATTTGGGAGGAGCACAGTTAATTTGCTCTACTAAATTTAGTAGTGGTATTCCTAGCATAACTAAATCAGAATCCAGTTTTATATATGTTAAGTAACCAATATTTTATTCAGTGAGACTTAGTTTCCAAAAGACATATACAGGATTGAACTGCATGATTATTATAAGATTTGCAGTGAAGGTATCCTGAATATATCTTCCCAGAAGATGAAAGTAATATTCTTCAGAAAGCCTTAAAAATGGTAATTATTAGCTGATGTTTCATTTTTTATATTTAGCAAACTAATGCAACTTGTTACCTAAAACTTAACTGAAGTTTGAAAAAAATTATTGGATCTGTGGAAAATCTCACTTTTTTTTTCTTCTCAAGAAACAAAGCCTGCTCCAGAAATCTTTGAGAATGAAATCCTACAGATGCTTAGAGAGTTTACTAAAAACAAGCACAGAGAGAAGAGACTACGACAACCAGATCTGGAATATCTTGCTGAAGGCTCCCACTGATCTTGTGTGCATTTCCATAAATGCCCAGTTCGGAGAATCCTTTAAAATGTAGAATCATATTTGTGCTTCATGGGCTCCTCTTAAACTATGTTATGCCTAATCTGCGAATTCTCATATAAGTAGCTATTTTTTCTGTATTGTACTGCTCTGAAATAAAGCTGCTTTTTTTCCTCGACAGAAGGGCTGAAACGCAAATTAGGAAATAATGATGAGATCACTACTGCACTTTAGAAATGTCTTCTTATTTATTAGATTTTTAAACCATTGTAATCATGCAGGTCTTGGCAATTTAACAGAAGTTGAAATAGCTGTAATATATTTTTTAAAAATGACCTAAACTGGAACATATATATTTGTGGGTGTTTTTGTGGGTGTAATTTCTAAGACACAATTTTAACTATTGAAAGGGCCCTTTAACCTGGTCCCCAAAGGCCAAAGATGGGACTAAACCTATATCTATTAGGTGGCAGTAATCGTAATGAAGAAGCAAGTCCTCGTTGTAGACCCTGTAGTCCTATCAGAGATTAAGATGAGGAATGTTGGAGACAGTAGCCCTGATGCCTAACCATATAAGACATTAACAGGTTAAAACTAACACTTTAAATTGCATGGACATTTACTGGCATTCAAGGCAGGGTCTATGTGTAGGTGTTCATGGCATCAGTGCCAGTTAGCATACAGGCCAATGTATGTTGTGCCTACTGCAGTTTCAGAGTAGCTTTTACAAGCAAACTCCATGTAGAGCGAATTGCAATTGGCTAATGTGTTGATGACATTACAGTACAACCTCTGTTCACGACCATAATTCATTCCATAACTTTGGTCGCAAGCCGATTTGGTTGTGACCCAAACCTAAATTTGGAAATTTGGCACTTACAAAAGAAAGAAAGAAAGAAAGAAAGAAAAAGAAAGAAAGAAAGAAAGAAAGAGAAAGAAAGAAAGAAAGAAAGAAAGAAAGAAAGAAGAAAGAAAGAAAGAAAGAAGAAAGAAAGAAAGAAAGAAAGAAAGAAAGAAAGAAAGAAAGAAAGAAAGAAAGAAAGAAAGAAAGAAAGAAAGAAAGAAGAAAGAAAGAAAAAGAAAGAAAGAAAGAAAGAAAGGCTTGGAAGGGGAAATTGGCTGTGAAAAAAAAAGGGAAGTTTTTGGTCAGAACCTGATTTAGTTGTGGTCAGAAGCATTCATGATCAGAGGTTCTACCATGGTACTATCCCCCCCCCACCTCCAGACAGTCACAACTGGTATTCCAGCTGCAACTGGGTTAAGGACCTCCTGGCTGTCACTAGAATGGAATAGAATCAAAGAATCATATGGCTGGAACGAACCTTGGAGATCTAGTCCAACTCCTTCCCAAGGCAGGAGAACTACCTTTTGCCTGCCTAATAGTATCTGCCCAGTACTAGCCATCTAAGTCATGGATTCCCCTTTCAAAGGCAATGGTACCCTTATAGGAGAGAACCCAGAACTGCAGGAGAACCACTTGTGTACAGACAGCAACTCTTTTGCTTGAGTTCAGTTGCGGTCCATTTCGCCCCATCTAGATCCTGAAAGCTATCTGTTGGTGATAGTTGATTCAAGGAATATTTCTGTTAATTCAATTGGGTATCACCAGTTCCAGGTTTTCTGTGCAGAGGTTAATATTGTATGTTGAGGATTTTGCCTCAGAAATATGCAAACTCGATAACCATGATCTTATTGGCATTTATATTAGCTTATCTATATTATCCATTTATTGACAATTGTGGCATTTTTTAACAGGATAGCAACTGATAAGTAATAATGTGCAATGAGATACCATGTGAACAAAATTACATTAATTCAGATATGTCACTGCACAGATTACTCTCTATGCAGCAACTTTATTCCTGGTTGGCCAATTTTTGCCATCTATTTGGCTCAGCTGTTGCTGTCCTAGTTTTTTCAGGAAACTATCGGGTTTTTGAGTGCATGCGCTAAAATAAGTCTCCCTCCTGAAAATAAGCCCTCCCCGAAAATATTTAAACGCAGAGCTGGAAATCCGGTAAGACAGCAAGAGGAGCCCCATCTTGCTTCATGTGCCCCAAAATAATAAGACCTCCCTGAAAATAAGGCCAAACACTTATTTCGGGGTTCAAAAAAATATAAGACAGGGTCTTATTTTCAGGGAAATACATCAGATTTTTGTAAAGGAAATTTCACAGGCATTTTTTGTTCTTGGCTTCAGATGCTGCTCTGTTCTCGAACCTAGGTAGGGGGATTTAAAAAACAACTTGGGAGTAAGTGATCCATATTGTAATCAAACCGTCCTTCCCTGTCTCAGTGGTCATGAGAGTTTTGCATTAGAGCTCCCATCATCCCTGACTATTTTGCCTGTGATGATTCATAGGCAGAAATAAATTTTCAGAGGAGCTTGTAAATGACAGGTCTCCAAAGGATACAGCAGTGGCTATTAAAACTTTTAGCTTGCTTAATAAAATGTAATCAGAATTAGTATTTATAGGAGATTAGTTGCACTTAACAGACACATTCATTGTTTATCTGGTTACTTTAACAAGTTTGACAGATGCTAAATGTCTGCATTAGCTTTTACACAAGCCCATTTTATACATAAATTTCTTTAGATGATTTGTGCCAGCCATATGGCTTTATCAGACATTATTTTGTACAGAAGATAATCCTGTATTTTTCTTCAGTTGATCACATGCTGTCTAAACAAATTATAAATAACACTTTCAGAAGGTTAGAATTTAATTTTGTTATAGAGGGCAGTTCTAGGCAATAAAACATTGGAGTTATAATTATATACTAAAAACAGCTATTTTATTCTATGTATTTTATGTATAACAGTTTTAAGTTTTTAGTTATTTTCAAATATGGCAATTTAAAAGTTTTATTTTTTCTAAAATTTTAAACATACAGGCCAGGGTTAAAGAAAGAAATTCTTTACTGTACATCCTTTTGTTGCCACAGTATCCCTGTGGCGTTGCCTGGAACTACCACAAGGTGTCATTATATGCATATACAGGTGAAACTCAAAAAATTAGAATATCGTGCAAAAGTTCATTTATTTCAGTAATGCAACTTAAAAGGTGAAAGATAGACTCATTACATGCAAAGCAAGACAGTTCAAGCCTTGATTTGTCATACTTTTGATGATTATGGCTTACAGCTCATGAAAACCCCAAATTCACAATCTCAGAAAATTAGAATATTGTGAAAAGGTTCAATATTCTAGGCTCAAAGTGTCCCACTCTAATCAGCTAATTAAGCCACAACACTGCAAAGGGTTCCTGAGCCTTTAAATCTCAGTCTGGTTCAGTAGGAATCACAATCATGGGAAAGACTGCTGACCTGACAGTTGTGCAGAAAACCATCATTGACACCCTCCATAAGGATGTCAGGTAATTACAAAAGAAGTTGGATGTTCCCAAAGCGCTGTATCAAAGCACATTAATAGAAAGTTATGTGGAAGGGAAAAGTGTGGAAGAAAAAGGTGCACAAGCAGCAGGGATGACCGCAGCCTGGAGAGGATTGTCAGGAAAAGGCCATTAAAAAGTGTTGAGGACTTTCACAAGGAGTGGACTGAGGCTGGAGTCAGTGCATCAAGAGTCACCACACACAGACGGATCCTGGACATCGGCTTCAAATGTCGTATTTCTCTTGTCAAGCCGCTCCTGAACAACAAACAACGTCAGAAACGTCTTACCTGGGCTAAAGAAAAAAAGAACTGGTCTGTTGCTCAGTGGTCCAAAGTCCTCTTTTCTGATGAGAGCAACTTTTGCATCTCATTTGGAAACCAAGGACCCAGAGTCTGGAGGAAGAATGGAGAGGCACACATTGCAAGATGCTTGAAGTCCAGTGTGAAGTTTCCACAGTCTGTTGATTTGGGGAGCCATGTTATCTGCTGGTGTTGGTCCACTGTGCTTCATTAAGTCCAGGGTCAACGCAGCTGTCTACCAGGAGATTTTGGAGCACTTCATGCTTCCTTCCGCAGACGAGTTTTATGAGGATGCTGACTTCATTTTCCAGCAGGACTTGGCACCTGCCCACACTGCCAAAAGTACCAAAACCTGGTTCAATGACCATGGGATTACTGTGCTTGATTGACCAGCAAACTCGCCTGACCTGAACCCCATAGAGAATCTATGGGGCATTGCCAAGAGAAAGATGAGAGACATGCGACCGAACAATGCAGAAGAGCTGAAGGCCGCTATTGAAGCATCCTGGTCTTCCATAACACCTCAGCAGTGCCATAGGCTGATAGCATCCATGCCATGCCACATTGAGGCAGTAATTGATGCAAAAGGGGCCCAAACCAAGTACTGGGTATATATGCATGCTTATACTTTTCAGAAGTCCGATATTGTTCTATGTACAATCCTTGTTTTATTGATTTCATGTAATATTCTAATTTTCTGAGATTGTGAATTTGGGGGTTTTCATGAGCTGTAAGCCATAATCATCAAAATTATGACAAATCAAGGCTTGAACTATCTTGCTTTGCATATAATGAATCTATCTCATATATTAGTTTCACCTTTTAAGTTGCATTATTGAAATAAATGAACTTTTGCACAATATTCTAATTTTTCAAGTTTCACCTGTAGGTGCTACTCTCAATGCTGATGAAAATGAAGATTTTAAATACAGGTTTGATCAAATACACTATGTAGCTTTGTACTGTATCTTACTGTAGTTAGGACTTGCTTAGGAATTTGATCCAGATTTCACAGATTCTTTATTAATTCAACTAATATACAGACCCATGAAGATAGTTTTACATTCTCAAACAGCTATATTATGATACAAAAATCTGCACATGGAATTTGCTGACACTTAAATTTGCAGACTTGTAGAAAGCATTTTGCCTATATATAAATCCATTTTGTGTGATCGGTAATTGCTTCAAGTCTCACAAATGGAATAGCATAACTGTAAAAATCATTATTTCTATGAATCTAGTCTGACACTGGATTGAAACTCATAATTGGAACATTGCTAGGGAAACTCCCATCCCATTTCCCATTACTCTGAAGGTTAACTTTGAACATCTCCACACCTGATAAGAATCTGTAATGCGTCTGCCATGTTAAAAAGCCACCAAACTGATTCCACTGGCTTTTCCGCTGGGTTCTATAAATGTGGCTGTCTTGTGGACAGGTTCTCTGGAGCTGGTTGCTATGAGCTAGTTGCTAAGATACATATTGTTACTTCAGTTCTACACATTCCTCCAAGTTCCTAACTTAAGGGAATAATTTAGTCCTCTGGGACACTACAAGGATTCTGCTCACAGCAGTAAACCAATCAATATCTTGACTGGTAGGTAAGGACATGGTATTGCAAGATGTATCTTGACATTGCTTCATAAAACAAGTTTTCAGGATAGAGAAGCATTTTGCCTCAAATTTGTATGTGGTTTGCCTTCTGTTTGTTATACGAACCAAATTCTATTCAGACTTGTGATGACCACTTTATCATAGATTTGCTAGACATACTATTTGATTCCTTTTAAGGATAATATTGTAGAGATTAAACTTTTATTTGAAATGTGTACTTTGCTACTGAACTTTGAGCACTGAACTGCAATTCAAAGTAATTTATTGAAGGGTCTAACTTAGTGCATTTGGAAATGTCAGTGCTTACACATCTTTAAATAGAACATCTGTTTAGAAGTGGCCATGTTACTTAAAACCTGATTTAGGTCTTGTCCCTTAGCTATGTATATACATTAGAGAATGCCTACACATTTCAGCTGATGAGTTTTCAGAGCAGTAAGTACCTATGTCTATTATCAGTATATCGGATATTTTGGCACTGGAAAGTTCTGTGGTTGAAGTTTTAGATGTTGCTAATGTTTGTGCACAATGGAGAAAAAGATGAAAAAGATGATTCTTTTGGAGGAATCGAGCTCCAACTACAAGTTTGAGTACAAGCTCAAAAAAAGAAGAGGCTTGTCATTACATTAGAGCAAAAATTTGTTGTAATTGAACAACATGAACCTGGTCATAGAAATACTAAAACAGCACAATCGATTGGAATGCTTTAGTCTATAGGGCACAATATTATAAAAATGCAGGGGAAATAAAAATAAAATTGCATCATCTTTTATGGTTTGCAAATACCGCATTTTAAGGAGATTGAGAGACAATAAATACATTTTTGTTAGTGTAAACTTATCTTTAGGAATGAAATTTAGAAGTTTTTTTTGTTTTTATTCTGCTTTCTAAAATTACTCTGACTTGGTTTATTATAAATTTAAATTAGAAATACATTTTTTTCTTTAAATACACATTTAATGTTTTAAATTTTTTTGTTGCTTATTTCGGTTGAATTGAAATTTTCCACAGAAATATTGCTTTGAATAGTGCAAATTTGAATAAAAATTCATGGGATTTATTATATAGCACTAATTGAGACCAAGCTTTATGTGGTATTTGAAGCAATATTATCTAACATTTTCAGTACTTCAAATAATTTCAACATATCTGCTTCAAAGAGATATTCTATAAAATGACAAAAAGGATTGTATTAAGTGAGCATCAGTTAACTACTGCCTAACTAATTGCCACATAGTTAAAACTTCAGATGAACAACAAGAAGGAATAGTATATACATACTTATCAATTGGCAGCTATAAATTCTGGGCTATAAATTGTGTGTTTTATTTCTCCAAGCTCAGTAAAATATAAAGAGGCTTGCCTTTATAAAGCTCTTTATTTCAGTTGGGTTCACCCCAGTAATTGCAGTAACAATAAGAAGGTTTCAGTAATATACTCCTGGATTTACCAAGTAACTTCAGGACATGAAGCAGCAGAAGAGACGTTTAGTGGATTCTCTGGATACTAGGTTCAAACCTGGATAGAAACTCCATTAGTAGTGCTTAAGGATGTCTTGCAACAGGATCAGGATGGAAGGAGCGCAGCCCTTTTGATCCTGTTAGATTCACAGGAATCTCACAGGACCCATTGATAACATCAGCCACAGTATCTTCCGGGGTGAGGGTTGGGGATTGAAAGTACATCTTTTACACTGATTCTGTTCTTTCCTAAAGCTGATGGTTTTACTCAGTATTGAGGGGGAAGAAAGATCAAAGTTTTGCATATTCCATGAAGTGCTTGGAACATAGCTTTTTTCACCATCCTATTTAACATCTATTTGAAACCATGAGATGTTACCTGCTGACCTGAGGTAAAATATAATCACTAAAGTATCATCACTATGAGTCTGTAGAGATTCTCAGTCATCCAGGTCATGGTTGTCCCAAAGGTGCTTTTTCAGGAGGCAACTGGACTTGTTTTTTCTTTTGAAGATGGTTTACAGACTTTTAGCTGTATAATTTGGGATAAACACCCTTTGAATGGTGTGGGAGTAGGAATGGATTTCCAGAGGAAAAATTGCAGACTACAGCAACCATGAGTGCTACTCAGGTGACCCTGAGGACACAGAAAAAACTCCAAGTGCTTCAACGACCCGCTAAAAGGAAGCAAGCTGTCTGCAAGGAATATAAATCCTTCCATTCCCCACTATCCTGTCAGAGCTGAAGAAGCTTTTTGGATGAGAAGTGAAATGTCTTCAAAAGAAAAAACAAGAAAGTCCAGTTGTCTCCTGAAAAAGCACTTTTGGGACTATCATCACTATGCTGATGATACTCAGCCATACTTCTCTAATCTTGGCATGAACAGACAAAACTCAGAGATTTTGTTTTCTAGAATGGGTGAGGTTTTATTCCCTCTCATAAAATAGGTATATCATCTGACAATTCACTTGGACCCTGAGCTTCTGCTGGAATAGCTAGTGAAAACTATGGCCAATAAATTCTTACCTAATTTCAGCTAGTGTGCTGGCTACAACAACTCATGCTCTCATTACCACATACTTGGACTTCTACAATACATACTCTATTTGGTCTTTGAGGGACATTCCAAAATTTCAGCTATTCAATGTGGCTGACAACACATTTCCTCTGGTCATTGTATTGGCTACCTTTAGGTTTTTGGATACAGTTCTAGGTGCTAGTTGTTATCTATAAATCCTTTTATGACTTGGATCTTGGCTACTGAGGAATAATTTGTTCTAGTTTGGATCTACCCTTCCTTTGTTGTGGCTCGCCAGTGGCCTGCGCAGATCGTGGCTGATCCCGACGATGAGTCTTTAGTCTTAGTCTTTATTTGATTTATATACCGCCCTACTCCTGAAGGACTCAGGGTGGTGAACAGCCAAACAATAAAATACATAAATACAAAATTTAAAAAACAGGATAAAACTGAATTAAACAAATTTGGCCCAGACAGATTTAAAACACCCCAATCATTTAAAAACAGATTAAAATTTACGTATTAAAAGAGAAAAAGGGGAAAAAGGTTAGGCCAGGCCCGCCTGGTGGAATAAAAAGGTCTTGAGAGCGCGGCGGAAGGTGCGCAGATCCGGGATCCTCCGTATCTCTGGGGAGAGCTCATTCCAGATAGTAGGTGCCCCATAGAGAAGGCTCTCCCCCTGGGGGCTGGTGTGGTGTTGTGCCAGCAGCCGGCGCTTGCGTCGGACAGTGAGGAGGCTGAAGAGGATGTGGTGCCAGAGGCAGAGACTCAGCCAGGGCCTTCAGAACCTCCAGAGGCTCCTTCAAGTGGAAATAGCGAAGTGGAGGAGCCTCTCCTCAATGCTCGAGCATGCAGGGCTGCCAAAAGGCAGGAGTGGCTACTCAGGAGGAGGAGGTCTCCTCAAGAGTAAGGCTTGAGGATAATTGGCCACTCCCTTAGCCTATTTAAGTCACACTTAAATCTTGCTAGAAACAACTTGTAATTACCATCAGAGCATTTTTGGAAAAGTCTTATCTATCTTGTTTTCTGGGCTGGTTGCCAACCTTTGCCGGACTTTGGTTTATTCTTTCTACTTAATAAATTTGATAAGGACCGTTGGTGTGTGTCAATATCCTCAGGAATCTGGAGCTGGGGCAGAACATCCTTTGTGATTGAAACAGCAAGTAATGCGGTGGGTTCCTGTTCCTCCTGAAGCTAAAGAGGTGGAGATCAGAAAAATATGCCTTTTCTATTACTGCCTCAGGGCTGTGGAATAATGTACCTCTTGAAGTAAATAAACAGAGGGGGTAGACATTTAAGAAGAAACTTTAAATGAATATCTTCTGCAAAGCTGCTTCAGTTTCTTACCCACTGAAAGTTGCTATTCAAATTTATTCACCGGGATTATTTATTAATTGTATTCTATAATTTCTGTTATCTGTTTATGCAGTGGTGAAATCTGAACCAGTTTGCTACTGATTCACTGGCTGCGCATGAGCAGACCGTGCCAAACGCGTGCTGCGTGCGCATATGTAATGCACACCAAACGTGCGCTGTGCGCATGCACATACACAGTATGTGCCAAAAGGAGGCTTGGGAAGGTAAGTAGAATAGCAAGGAGGGGATCAGCTGTGCCGCGCAATTTAGCTTCGCTAGAAAGCAGGATTTTTTGCTTTCTAGAAAGCTAAACCGTGCAGCAGAGCTGATAATCAGAAATACCGGTTCAGAGGAACCGGTAGCTTTTTAAAACTACCGGTAGTTTTTATCACTACCAGTTCACTCAAACTGGAACGAACCGGTAGCATTTCACCTCTGTGTTCATGGCTTTAAATCAGTAATTATTGCAAGCCACCCATCCATACAATTAGGGAGACATAGAAATGATGTTGAATAGTCAAATAAATAAAAGCAGTATTATGCTATATAGTGTCAAACCTGAGTGCTAAGGCCATTTTGTGGTATTATGGTATCTCAATTACAGTCCACTTTAGTTTTATTAAGTTTTTCTTTAAATCTTAAGATTCCATGATGTCACAGAGTTGTGTATGAGCTCACTCTGTTTCCAGGAGATCTAAACAGTCTAAATAAATATCTCTCCAAGCCAAACTGATTTTTCCTTCTGGTACTCAGCAGCTTTCGAGTTCTCCACAATGATCAGTGGCCAGTCTTCTACGATAACTATTTCCCCGGGGAAATCTTGTATCACAAAATCTTTTTCTGTATCCACAGAGAAGATGGGACGTCTCCCCTTAGGTGCCGTTTCTCCCTATGTAAAAACAAGCTCTGGTGGAAGTATGGACCCCATGAAATTCTATTGCACCAGCTATGGGGCAGCTTATGGTAAGACTTTAACCAATATAGAAAAGAATTTATTCTCCTCAATTAATCTAAAAACTAGAATTTGAACCTTGCTTTTTTACTTTGGATTGCAAGGATGTCTAATATATAATTTATCTGTCCAGATAAAAAGTTAGACGTTAGTAACTGTGGCACATGAGCAGAGAGGAAAGGACAAATTTGAGATACTTTAGGATTTGTTCCAAAAAATGTCAACAATATGTTTGGGAATGATATCCAGAAATACACAGAATTAACAGCTAAATCCTAAATATATTTGATCAGGAGTGATTCCCATGGGGTCCAGCTTGTTATATTTGCTTTCTATGCATCATTATTCTTGCTTTACTGTCCAACCTGTGTCCCTTTCTTAGATATATTGCCTCTTATATATCTTTCTGTTATAGGCTGCTCTCCTTTTTCTACATCCATATACTCCAATGCTTGAAATTTGGAAGAAACGGAAAAAATACCAACACTAAGTAATATAATCAAAACTACAGTATATCTATATGAATGTAATAAAACTTATGTAAATTTGCAACATTATATTATATGCAGCAACCATTCCATGTTATATCATATAAATTTATATTTCATATAATAATGTGTAAAATTTTGTATTTAATGATGCTTATTACTATTATCTATTTTCTTGTTTCTTTCCTGGTGCTTTTCCTTAATTAAATGATAATGTTGGGATTTCCTTTCCTTTCCTTTCCTTTCCTTTCCTTTCCTTTCCTTTCCTTTCCTTTCCTTTCCTTTCCTTTCCTTTCCCCCTCCACCCTTCCTCCTTTTTTTTTCTTCAGAAAGCAAAGTAGTAATCTGAAATATCTTTATTTCACAAACGTCTGGATCCCAAATATAGTCCCTCCCCCATGCAATCTGTAGACCTGCCCCCAAAACAATAATAGTAAGCTGGAGTCCTAGTTGGCAGAGGGAAATTCACCAAATAAAACTAGACTGCCATTTTGTGAGGAAGCAATCAAGCACCCCTGTTTTAACCATTTGAGAAGATATCAAAACATGTTTTCAGCATTTAGAAGTCTTATTGAGTTGCTGTTTCATATTATAGTTTATTACAGTGCCTTGATGGAAAGGTGATTTGGGCTGGCAGTGTAATAAGAAAAAATATTGACAAACTTTTTTCCCCCCAGGTCAGGAAGGCTTTCATCCTCGGAATGGCTTCCATTTTGGAGCAGGATATAAAAGCAACTACCGGCCTGTTGTCCAATACAACCCAAACCTAGATAAAATAGATAATCCAGCTGTGGGGTCAGTATCTCCTTTTTCAGGCAATTAAGTACAATGTTTCAGACTGAGATAGAAGAGTAACTGGGATGTTTCAGCCACCCTCTCTATAACATGAGTTTAATCTATCTATCTATCTATCTATCTATCTATCTATCTATCTATCTATCTATCTATCTATCTATCTATCTATCTATCTACTGTTTTCCTGAAAATAAGACCCTGTCTTATATTTTTTTGAACTTTGAAATAAGCGCTTGGCCTTATTGCCATGTGCTCAAAAGCCTGATTGGGCTTATTATCAGGGGATGTCTTATTTTGGGGGAAACAGGGTATCTATCTCACCTATCTAATCACTAAGACTTTTGTTATCATGACTTTTAACTGGGTGAAATGGTGCACTATAGGGCAACAATTTTTGAACCAAACTACCTCAAATGGGCTAACTTACAGGATGTGCCCAAAATCCATGAAAATGAAGTTTGGGGAAGTTATGGCTGCTTTGGTGGTATTGACTGTTCCTGCATTTGTGTGAACTTCATTTTCAATGTTTTGTGACAGTTTCCCAGACAGTCTCTTAATCCCTTGCTTGCTCCCCCACCCACCCAGCAGCAGCCACTTACCTCCCTGCTGGGAAGAGAAGGAAAATTTTCAATGCTCCTTGCCACCTTCTCACAAGGAAATTCAATGGGGAAGGTGGCAGGAAGTTGGAAGTCACTTCTGCTCCCACTGCTTTTTTTTTGTCTTCCCTCATTCTATTCCTCTGTGTAGGCAAGGAAATATATCTGAAACAATGACACAGATTGTCTAGCACTCCCATAATTCTTACTCTTCAGCAGCATGGTTCTTTTTTTCTGAAGAGTCTCTAATGTTGGCAGAAAGTGCAACTACAAAGTCTGCGTCCAGAGAACATCCACAAGCTCAGTGTGCACATCCTCCATTACTTCCCTTTTCCAGACAAATTGATATTGTAGGGTTATGCACATCTTCTAGGGGGTGCTGTCGACTAACATTTTGTACAACATAATCCACACCACTACAAATTATACTATGACAGTGCTTTACAGGATTCAGTTTTTCTGGTTAGTATTTGTTTTGGATTCTCAACTGGATTTTTTCAAGAAGATAAGAGATGTGACACACCCACCTTGTTCAGCATCAACAGCATCAATGTTTGAATCAGTGTCCAAAGTGGACAGCTCTGGTGCTGCTTAGGTAGACTTCATCACCTGCTTCCGAAACTGATGGCTTCTCTAGCTTGTCTCTAAGAGTGCTCAGACCGATCTGCTTTTGCAGATCCTCTTCAGAAATTCTCCAAAATAATTTTCTGCTCACTTCTGGAGAATCATAATAATTAATAACCATTGTTCCTATAGAATGTGCCATTTGTTAAAAGGGTGCAAATAGCTATGTTTACCAGTAGTGGGTTCCACTTACCTTCACTGGGCGGGTGGGCGGAGCCTCCCGCTGCCGCCACTACCGGTTCGCCCGAACTGAAGCGAACTGGTAGAAACCACTGGTATTTACCCTGCTTTAGGACAAGCATATTAAATTACCAAGACTAGTAAGAGATGGGTGCTCTCAAAAACAGAAGCAATCTGAGTTCAGATACCTGATATGGGGGTATCTGATAACTCTCATTCAGAGCAGCGTGCTGCCTAGGATTTTTACTAAGTTGGCAAAAGAGATCACTCCAAGTTCTAAAAAAGTGAATGTAGTGATGTGTGGTGAACATGAGAAAAACTCTTAAACTGTTCATGTATAGAAAGTGGAATAATATGGACTATTTGCACCTGGACTTCAATGTTGAGGTTAAAAAATCAACTCTTTGTCTCAAGAGGACATCATTAAAGTGGATAATATGAAACCAGAGTGCTTTAGATGATGAAAGTCTGGATTCGGTAGATTGTCTCTCAGTCAATGGGATTCAGAATCCAGAACTGTACAATCAACAGTATTTCTAAACTGAAGTACTATAAGGTATACTGATTTGTGCTGGAATGCTCAGGCAAAATCATGATAGAGTCAACCACTGCATTTGTCACTAGTCTACAAACTGTGTGAGTACAATCATGGGGTGGGGAGGTTTCCCTAAAAGATTTGTTGCAGAAGACTTTTGTAAAAGATTTTAGTATATTCTTCAAATCCATATTCTTCAAATCCAGGACTGAGTCATCCAGTCCAGGATCTTCACCTGCAGCTTTCTTGACTGAGTGATGAGAAGGATGGTTGTAGAGCGTCTCTATTGGAGACCTGTAGAGACAGTTGAACAGTTGCTAATTGACAACCAAGAATTTTGGAGGTTTCTCTTAGAATTAGAATTCCCTTAGAATTAATGTTGAACAATTGGGTAACTAATATACATTTTTCACATATCCTCTACCACTGGTCAGTTGTCTTTTGGAGATCCTTGATTATTAGTACCCTCAAATTGCTGTTGAACTTAGGAAACACATTGATAGATTTTCCTCCATGACAATGGTCCTTCAGGTCTTCCAATAAAACATTAATCATCACTGTAACTAAGTCCATCCACTCTGCTGTTACAGTAATTGTGCTCTTTTTCTTTCCTTCTACCTTTTTCAGCATTAGAGGCTTTTCCAGAAAGCTAGGTCTTTGTATAATGTATCTGAAATAATTTAAGTCTGGTCTTTTGTTTTAAATGGGAACTCTGGTTTGTTTGCTTGTTTTGTTTGACAGTCCATGATATCTTTAGGAGTCTTCTCCAAATCTGGGATATGAGCAAAATTCATAAAATGCTTTTGGGCTGGAAAGCAGAAATGTTCTTAAGCTGTATATTATCTTCCCTAAACCAGGAAACTCCTACAAGATAACTATGAATCAACAATCAATAAACATTTCCAGCCCCATCAGCTCCCGGATGGGAAGTATCCTCTTCCCTGGAGTGTACATCAGCCAGGCAGTGGGTATGTTCGAGAAAAGCCTCTAACTTTTCCCACAACCAAAACAGTAAGTATCCTAACTTTACATTCTGGCTTTCTCTTGTGGATGTATGTTTTCCTGAGAATGGTAGTAACAATGTCCACTGAGGAATGGGATATACCTAGTTTAATGAAAAGGATTAGGGATGACATGATAGGAGTGTTCCAATATTTGAGGGGCTGCCATAAAGAAGAGGGGGGGGGGGGTTTCAATCTATTCTCCAAAACACCTGAAGGCAGGACAAGAAGCAATGGATGGAAACTAATCAAGGAGAGAAGCAACCTGGAACTAAGGAGAAATTTCCTGACAATTAGAACAATTAATCAGTGGAATGACTTGCCTCCAGAAGTTGTGGTTGCTCCAACACTGGAGTCTTTAAAGAAGAGCTTGGACAACCACTTGTTTGAAATAGTAGAGGGATTCCTGCTTAAGCAGGGGGTTGGACTAGAAGATCTCCAAGGTGCCTTCCACCTCTGTTATTCTGTTATTCTGTTAGGGTTCCCTGCACTGTAAATATGGATCAATGCTGAAAGATAATGTTTGTGTATTGAGAGGAGGAATATTGAATCTTTGGATAATTGAGCTTCTCTCTACATGGTCACAAGATCTAGTGCACTCTACTGCCAAGCAAGGTGAAGACTGTGGAAGAAAAATTGCTAAATTTATAAGATCAGGTGAGAATGTGTCAGGATTCAGAATGAACAAGGATGACTAAGAGAGTTAAAATCTGATGTTGCAAACGGACCAGCACAAATGACTATGTATAGCACAATTCTATATATATATTATTCAGTTTACTTTTAATGTACAATAGATAAATGGAACAACATTTCAAAAATATCTGAGACTTGTGTAGGTTTGAATGTATGTGTGCGTCTCGGTATATATGGGGAGAAACAGTGTCCATATGTGCATCCTCAAATAACATCTGGAAAACTCATTTACCAAAACTACAATTCTACAGTCTTCCGAGTGGTTCTTCTAAATGGTTCAACAATCATGAATGGGATTCTGGGGAAATCCAATATACCTGCAGAGCACCTGATTGTTGAAAGTGGCCACAGGAGAGTTTCATAAGATTAAATCTTCCGCAAACTTGCTTACTCTTTTTTTAAAGCCAGGATGATATTGCTTCAGATTGTTCTGATTTTTTCAGATCTGGACATAAATTGGGATGCTATGAAAACAGAGTTGTTTATACGGAAGGAGATTTATTTGTTTACTTACTTATCCACCCAAAAGCTGAGTGCGCAGAATGCACTGCCAAACAAAAGTTGGCTAGCTGATTAGTAAGAGACTGCATTGTCCTGCCCCTTCCCCAAGTTCATTCTACATTCCTCCTTCTTTTCAAAATAAATAATATTAAGACATTAAGGAATCATTCATCCAATGAGAGCTGCTGTATGTATGTGCATGTCAATATAGATAAGATTTCAAGAGAAACTGCTGTAATAGAAGCTATTTGAGTAAGTCTACCTTAATATGACCCCTGAAAACACCCAGACATAATTTTAATAAGAACCCAGCTACCAGTGGTGAAATCCTCTGCCGGTCACCACCGGTTTGCTGCCCACTCATGTGTGGTGCGCACCAGACGCATGCTGGGTGCGTGCATGTATAGTGCACACAAAACACAAGTTGTGCACACATGCATATTGTGCACCAAATGCACACTTCATGTGGAAAAAGGGGCCATTTGACGGTAAGTAGAACAGTTGGGGGGGAACAGCTGTGCTGCGCGATCAACATTCGCTAGAAAGCAGGATTTCCTGCTTTTTATCACTACTGGTTTGCCCGAACCGGTGTGAACCAGTAGGATTTTACCACTGCCAGCTACCCTTGTGAATACGCAACTGCTTATATTCTACCTAGACAGGAAAAGGCAATGGAATTGATGCCTAGTTTTTCCAAGTACAATGGCTTCATAATTATGGTCTTTACTACATAGTTGCACTAAGAGGAAAATGCAGTTTATCTTTTATATTGTGGGCTTTTAGAAAAACACCATAACCTTATTTTTCAAAATGTTCACTACAGCAGAGATTAAGACGTTTATTCAAAAGGTATATGCTGCAATTCATACTATTTTGTTTAAAGTATATAGGAAAAAGAAAAAGAATGAGACGGAGAGGTATAACATATGTTATTTCAGTGCTTTCTTGTCTTCTGGTACCAAGATCTGGCCATAGATATAATGCAAGTCACAATTTCAGCTAAGGAAACACAGAAAATGATTTCTTGGCATTTCTGCCTTTCTGATTGCTTTCATGACTCGTCCTATCAATGGAGGAAAGCATATGCCCCAGGCAACTGATTTTGGATACAATGAAAGGCAGCAAATAGTTATCTAAATATATTGGCATTTCTCTATCAGAAAGTATGCGTTTTCTGCCTCAGGTGCCAAAGGAACTTGAGTAGCTTTTGAATAAGCCATTTATTTGTTTGTTTGTTTGTTTGTTTGTTTACTTACTTATTTAAATTTGTGATAGCAGCTTCACACCACATTGTCTTAATACGGACTTTGGATGCCACTGTGTTTTCTGTCATGCAGCAAAATGTCTTGGAATGGTCTACCTTGATCTTCTTCTCTCTTCCTTTCCTAGAACAGGTTCAGCAGCATTTCCATTCCCTTCATCCCATTATGTTTTAGCTCATTGCTCTTCTCAGAGGCCAATTGGGTTTGCTATTACAGGTCAAAAGGGTCCATTTTGATACAGCCAACCAGGGACCTGAAGCTGTGATAGGGCTGGAGCCCAGACATGTCCCTGTGCTCCATAATACATTTGGAAAAGGCTCAGTTGAAGCGGAAAATGCAAGACACGTGAGTCTGTGGGCTCCAATAATTTGAATGAGATGCCATTAGAAGGCAGCAAGGGATCGGGGATTTGATATGTGGTGCAGGTGGTGATACTGAGGGAGAATCACTTATAGGGTTTTCTGCCTCAAATGTCAGAACAATTTGGATAAACCTGGATACTCAACACCTAAATATAAAAAGAGAAGATTGGTTAGGGTAAGCATTTGCTGCTCTGCTCAAACAGGAAAACATTTTGAGTAAGCCCTGGCTTTCTACCACTAAGTGATAACTAGTATTGGACTTGGAAGCTTAACAGTAGCTATAAAAATAAAACAATTCCAACTACTTGCTTTGGCTTCCTTACAAGTTGAGAATTAGGCTAAGGGAACCACAGAAAATTTTTATTTATTTTTTTATTTTACTTCAAATTTATATACCGCCCTTCTCCCTAGGGACTCAGGGCAGTGTACAGCCAAATAAAAACACATAATAAATACATTAAGAACAGATTAAAAGGAAATATCTCAATTTGGCCCAAAATTTAAAAAGACAAACAAATTTAAAATCATTTAAAGGATTTGTTAGGCCAGCCCGGCTTGTTGGAAAAGGTAAGTTTTAAGGACATGGCGGAAGGCACGGAGGTCTTGGTTCTCCTTATCTCTGGGGTCAGCTGATTCCAGAGGGTGGGAGCCCCCACAGAGAAGGCCCTCCCCCTGGGGGTCACCAGCCTGCATTGCTTGGGTGATGGCACCCCGAGGAGGCCCTCTCTGTGGGAGCGCACGGGTCGATGGGAGGTCGTTGGTGGCAGAAGGTGGTCTCGAAGATAACTAGGTCCTATGCCATGGAGTGCTTTAAAGGTGGTAACCAACACCTTGAAGCGCACCCGGAAGACTACTGGGAGCCAGTGCAGCTCGCACAGGAGCAGTGTTATGCGGGAGCACCATGCAGCTCCCATAATTACCCGCGCGGCCGCATTCTGGACCAGTTGGAGCCTCCGGGTGCTCCTCAAGGGGAGCCCCATGTAGAGAGCGTTGCAGTAGTCCAGGCGAGAGGTGACGAGGGCATGAGTGACTGTGCGCACGGAATCCCGATCAAGAAAGGGGCGCAACTGGCGAATCAGGCGAACCTGACAAAAGGTCCCCCTGGCAACAGCCGTCAGATGTTCCTCCAAGGACAGCTGCGTATCCAGGAGGACTCCCAGATTGTGCGCCCTCTCCACGGGGGCCAAAGACTCGCCCCCGATAGTCAGCGATGGAGTCAGCTGACTATATCGGGATGCCGGGAACCACAGCCACTCAGTCTTGGAAGGGTTGAGCTTGAGCTTGTTCCTCCCCATCCAGATCCGTACAGCCTCCAGGCACTGGGCCATCACTTCAAGGGCATCGCTGGGGTGGCCTGAGGTGGAGATGTACAGCTGGGTGTCATCAGCGTACAGGTGGTATCTCACCCCAAAGCCATGGATGATCTCGCCCAGCGGCTTCACATAAATGTTGAACAGAAGGGGCGAGAGGACTGACCCTTGCGGCACTCTACAGATGAGAGACCTCGAGGTCGACCTCTGCCCCCCTGTCAACACAAACTGCGACCGGTTGGAGAGAAAGGAGGAGAACCACCGTAACACGGTGCCCCCCATCCCCAACTCTTCCAACCGGTGCAGCATGATACCATGGTCGATGGTATCAAAAGCCGCTGAGAGATCTAATAGGACCAGAACAGAGGAGCAACCGCTGTCCCGAGCCCTCCAGAGATCATCAACCAACGCGACCAATGCCGTTTCTGTGCTGTGCCCAGGCCTGAAACCTGACTGGAACGGATCCAGATAGGACGTTTCCTCCAGGAATTGTGGGAACTGTCGTGCGACCACACTCTCAACAACCTTCGCCACGAAGCAAAGGTTGGAGACAGGATGGTAGTTAGCCAATACTGCCAGGTCCAGGGAGGGCTTCTTGAGGAGAGGCCTCACCACCGCCTCTTTCAAGGTAGCGGGGAAGTGACCCTCACTCAACAAAGCGTTGATAATTCCCTGGAGCCAGCCACGTGAGACCTCCTGGGAAGCCAGTACTAACCAGGAGGGACACGGGTCCAGTAAACATGTGGTTGCATTAAGTCTCCCCAAAATCCTGTCCACGTCATCCGGAGTCACAAAGTCAAACTCTTCCCAGATAACATTCTCAAGACTATTCCTCGTCAACCTGCCCGGATCTACCCAGTCAGAGTCCAAATCCCGCCGGATCTGAGCGATTTTGTCATACAGATATCGTCCGAAATCCTCAGCCCTGCCCTCCAGAGGGTCCTCCCGCACTCCCGGTTGAAGCAGGGAGCGGGTCACTCTGAACAGGGCCGCCGGACGATTCTCTGATGATCTAATAAGAGCGGAGAAGTAATTGGACTTCGCCGCTTTTATCGCCACTAGGTAGGTCTTAATATGCGACCTTACCAGTGTTCGATCAGATTCGGTGAGACTGGCCCTCCAACCACTCTCCAGGCGTCTTTTCCGGCGCTTCATCTCCCTCAGCTCCTCAGTGAACCAAGGAGCCGTGAGAGATCGGCACTGGGTCAGAGGCCGCAAAGGCACAACTCGATCTAAGGCTCCGCTAGCGGCCTGATCCCAGGCCGCCATCAGGTCCCCGACCGAGTCATGTGCTAGAACCTCAGGAAATGGCCCAAGCTCCATCTGGAATCTATCAGAATCCATCAGGCGCCTGGGGCGGACCCATCTTGTAGGCTCCGCCTCCCTGCGGCAGGGTGTAGCGGTTCGAAGATCTAGGCGAAGGAGCGAGTGGTCAGACCATGACAAGGGTTCCATGTCTATATCCCCTATAACAAGGCCACTCAACCACTGGCCAGAGATTAAAATCAGGTCCAGAGTGTGACCCCCCCTGTGGGTGGGGCCATGAACTAACTGGGTCAGGTCCATGGCTGTCATGGAAGCCATGAACTCCCGGGCCATCTCAGACGTCTCACCAACAGATGGCAGGTTGATATCACCCATGACCATAAACCTGGGTGTGTCAACTGCCACCGTGGCTATCACGTCGAGTAGCTCGGGCAGGGCCATTGCCACATGGCAGGGAGCCAGGTACGTGAGCAACAGGCCCATCTGAGCCCCAATATGAGCTTTGAGTAGCGATCTATAGAAAATAGCAGCTGGCATTGCAAAGGAATTAGACATGAAATCCAGACATGAAAGGCAGCTGAGGAGAAAGGGCAATGTTTTCTAAAAGAGCAAGAGAACTAGTGAAGTATAGCAAGAATAACTGGTTTACTCACAGAGAGAAAAGTGGATGGGATATAGCTTAGCGAGACTGAAAATATATTGAGAAGATAAGGGTGGGTTAATTCCTGAGAACATGGTCTTCTTCTCTGTTGTATTTGTAGGGACCTCAGTTCATGTCCACGGAGTATGGCTCTAAGTACCACTTCAACATTCCAGGGCAACCAGGTATAATTTCTATGCATGTAATACAACATAATAGTTGCTAGATTTATGCTACTATTATGCATTAAAGCATAATTTGTTTTTTTGGGGGGGGGGACTTGGATTATCACAACATTTGAAACTACCCTAACCCACGGTGGTTTTTATATCAGTATACCTCTCCCTTTGAAACTCATAAGCCATTCTCTGAATATTAAATTCCTAAATCAATATTTTAAAATGTAAAATTATAGTTTGGATCAGAATTTGTGAAGCTTCCATGGGATAATTTGATTTAATGAAGTCACTCTTTGAAATACTGTAGATCCACGAAACACTATATGTCACATTTAATTCTTGGGTTGCAGTAGCTAAACCATTTTACTTTAGCTGGGTCTTTGGCCCTCCAGGATTGCTTTCACAGGCTTACTCTGCATCAGCTTACTTTGGAACAGCCCCATCTCTCCCCCCTCCCAGATCCTGATTTGCTGCCTTAAAATGGTAAGGCAGGGAAGTACTGAGAGGATAGAATGAGGAACACCAGAAGTATAGAAGAAGAGTGTGTGTACTTTTAGCAGGGTCATCCAAGGTGTAAAGATCATCCCAGCTGATCAACTAAAACAAGCCAGGGATTATATCAGGCACCAATGATATAAGATGTTGGAAGCAATGGTTACTTTAGTGACAACAGCAATGGTGAGGTACTCCTCCATTTTAGCATGCTTACATTTTGCCAAGATAATTCTATGGATAGAAATGATGAAAGCAATTGATAAAAGAGTGCTGGATCTTGGGTCCCTCAAGTCAGATGGCATTCAGGTGTGATGTACTTCAGTTGAAGCCTTTGAGATGTCTATTTGATGATACAGCCATGCAGAAAAAGAAAATCCAAAGCTGTAAAGACCAAATTATGGTCGCAACATGGAATGTAAGTAGCATGAACACAAGAAAGCTTAACACAATGAAATATGAAATGAATCTTAGGCATCAGGCACTTGAAATGTACTGGAAGTAGATGCTTTCAATCAGAAGATAATACAGCAGAAATATTTCTCTTGTAACAAGAGAAGAGAGCAAAGATATTGGAAAGAATCTCAACACAGACTTTCTAACATAGCTGTTAGAAAACGCAAACAGTATTACAACAACATCTGTGAAGACATCAGAGATGGAAACAGATTTAGAAATATAAGGAAAGTCTTCCAAAAATTCTCCAAATTCAGAAGGAATTCACTTGCCATGATATTCTGCATCTACAAAGGTCATAACCAAGCAGGCAATGATTTCCCCATGATACTGTTTGGAAACAAATGTTGGAGTTTGACGAAACAGTACAGAAAAAGTATTGAGGCTTTTGAACTTTGGGGAAGACTTTTCAGAATCCTATGGAGCGCCACAAAAACACATCATTCATAGAATAAATCAATGCGGAGTTCTTACTTGAAGCACAAATTACTAAGTTCAAATTATAATATTTTGGTCCATTATGTTATCTTTGGCCCAAAGATCCAATTTCCTTGAAGAACCCATAATGCTGGTAAAAATGGAAGGAAGAAGAAGACAATTAGTAGCAAGGTCAGTGAGTGAAATATGTACAATAGAAGTGGTATACTATTGGAAGACTTGAAGGGTTAGGTGTGGGCAGATTATCCTGGAAAAGGTCTATCTATGAGGTCACTAAGAGTCAACACCAACTTGATATCACATAACTAATCACTGAGAGCCAAGTAAGAATCTACCAGCCAATACTATTGTTTTCCATAACCAATACAATAATTTCACAACCATTAGAAAGGAACCATTGAGATTACTAAATATACATTTCAATAATTATTTTCTTTCAGTTTTGTTTGGAGAGGGTTGTCTTTTGTTGTTTTTATTTCTTGTCCTATAGCATTTTAATTAGCATTTAATTAGCATTCAATTAGCATTTAAGCCATAAATTTTTTTTAAAAAATAATGGAGTTGCTTACATAATTTAAAATTGGGGATCAGAGAAATTGAGCTGTGCAACACTTTTTAAACATCTCAAGAACCGTGAGGTACTTGGAAAATTCTTGGTTTCCTGGGACAATTTCTCACAGGATAAAAGTTACATACAAATGCTCAAGTCCCTGTCCTGTCTAAAAAATAACTTCACATTACAGGTAGCAGCAATGCAAAATCCATGCATCTATTTTGAGGAACATTGCTGTGTACTCCAGATTTCTGCTATGGAATTTTGCACTTTTTAAAAAAGCATCCTGTTTTATGTAGCTTGCATGTAATATCTGTTATATGGTGTAGCATCTCCCTCTTCCCTTCCTTGATTTCACTGTTGGGTAAGACGAAAGGAGCTTGAGGAAATAGCAAATTATAATGGCTAAGCCTTCCATTATAATATGTTTATATAGAAAATGAAGCAATTTTAATCACAATTGGCTAGGCATCACCTCCAGGATCAGAGAAAAAGTAAAGCTCCGAATAGCAGTTGAAAAGAAAAAGCATCCAGAAAAGGATAGTACTATATAAGCAATTTAAGCCCTTTTAAACTTAATATTCAAAGCTAGGGTTCTCACAAGGTTTTGCATGACTCACTGGTGTTAATTTGTGAGAACTGAACAGATCAGTCCAGCTTCCCAAGATGTTTTTGAAGTCATCTACTGCATATGCTCCTTTTCCCCCCTTCAATGGCCATCTTTATTTTTCTCTCCTCACAGATTTCCTCCAAAAGAAAACAATTGGAGCCAAAGAAGAGTCAGGATTTACTGAAGGCTGCCTTGCTAACCCCATTGTGGAGAAACTAGCATCACAGGTCCTCCCAGTAGCTTTGGTTTCTTCTGCTGTTCTTCCCAAGGAGCAGATGAAGCATCATGTTAAAGATGCTGCAAAGGAGACTTGGCAAAATGGTGCCCTTCTTCTCCAGTTTTTCTTGAGTTTCAACAATTGCTCTCCCTTTATACACGGGCTCCCTTTCTGTCACTGGTGCCTGCAGGGAGGGCTCAAAAAAAAAATGAAGATGGTGGCCACAACCATGTGATCAAAGTCCACCCTTTTAGATCACAATGCACATAAAAATGCATTAAGGCCTGTCATGGTTATAGCCACCATCTTAACTTTTTAACCATCTCCAGCAAGGACTCCTATTTACTATAGGAGCAGGATAATTTGTGAAACAAAAGAGAAAGGAGGAATCTCACATTCTAACAAAAGAGGTTTTATCAATCCCAACAGATGAATAATGGTGAAAACAAAAAGAGTACAAAAAGGATATTAAAATAACTTGGATAAAACATATATGATATAACAATATTTTTTAAATGGATAATTTGGGTACATTTCAAGTAGTTCAGCAAATATCTAAAAGAGAATACATTCAAGTTAAAGAAAAAAGCTTTTAAATTAGTCTAAAATATCTGTTTATGGAACTCAGATATCAATTTCAAGAATATTGCCTTCACGAGCATAAGAATAATTAGTTACAAAGCAAATCACCATTTTAGAAACATGTAGCAACTGTTTTATCTCTATTGGGAATGAAAGTAAATGAAAAAGAAGACAATTCTCCATTAAAGAAAAAGTAAGGCACAGAATTATTTTACCTTATGGAATTAATCAGAGTGTTTTGCAAAACCAACTGAGGTTGAGAGCAGTTCTTTGATTTGTAGTACAAAAGGGATTGTGAGCTCCAAGGGAAACCTTCTTAAAGAGAGACATGTTTAAATCAAGGGTAAGTACCAAATATCTTCATTTAAACCCTGGGGCAAAGACTATTGAGTAGTAGTATACCATGACATGGTATTCTATTGCCCACAAGCATAAATCTGAGAGGTTGTAACAATTATTCACATGTTCGCTTTGACCTACAAGATAATACATAAACCAGCACAATGACAAAAGAAGACAAGCAAGCAGATATTCTTAGTTTTAGAACTGTGACAAATTTGCTGTGTTCCTGATTGGCTTCCCTTAGAACTTTCTCTTTAAAAGCCAAAAGGTGTGGTGCGGGTGACTTTTTTCTGAAACACATCCTATCATAGCTATATATCATAGCTATATATACACACATCCTATCATAGCTGCCCATTTCACAAACCTGACTTCAGGCAGCAACAATAAACAATAAACAAACAAAATTGACTCTGGGCAGCAAACAACAAATAAGCAGTAAAATAAACAATATTAAAAACAACCCACAATTAAAAAAAATATTATTAAAAGATTAGGAGAGAGCATATTTGATGTTAAGGCAATGAGGCCACCTCCCCTTAAAACAAAGTGCATTAGAATTCTGAAAAAGTAAATAACGTCCATCTTTCTTAACCCATTATCACAATCTTTGTTCCTTATTGTTAGAAAAATTCCAGAATCCCTCTAGGATTATGTTTTTCTTTTCTGATAAATTTTTATAAATGCTCTTGCTTTGTTATACCAATCTGCCTACAGCCCTCCAATGTTGTCTGCTAGCTCCTACTCCAATAGACTTTTTATTACAAATAAATTTCAAATATTTTCATTAAGCAAAAAATAACCGCAGCTCCCAGGATTATCTTGGTTTTCCCCAAATATATATCTTTCCTATATTTCTTCTATGAAAATTGGATGGATGTAGCCTTGGATTATTTTAGAAATATTCCCACCTGCCAGTAATAGGTCCAAGGTATGCTGAGGTACCATACAGGAGCCAAAGCTAGAGGAGGGACAGGTAGCATTCTAATAATTTTATACTTTCTAGCTTGTTATATCTTTCAGGAGCTATTTTTGCTAGCACATTTTTCAAGGGTACAAATCGCAACAAATCAGGACACAAATTCCCAGACTGAAGGTTCCAGAATATTATTTTGTGTAGGGTTCTCCATACAAATAGCAAACTCATTTTCTTTATCCATATGTGGTTAAAAGAGTGCAAGCTTGGGGGAACCTCCAGATTTGAAGACACACAAAAACCATTTATGAAAAAAAAAAAGGAGGAAAGGTCCCAGTTAAGATCAATGGTATTTGAGCAATGCTTATTTGGCTTGAAATCCTGGCTGGGGGAAACAACCTAATGGAATGGAGTACTATGGAAAAGGGTTTCTGGCTGGAAACTGAAATACCCTAAATGCAGTTGTTATAATTACTACTTACGCCCTGCCATCATAATAATGCTACCGTAGTAATAATAACTACTACTTCTTATGCCTTGCCACAGCTGATCCAGATACCACCAGTATTAGTTCAGATAATTAGATAGTATTAGTAGAGTCTCCTACTAACCTGGCTCCTTGGGTTTTTTCCCCCAACATAGTAAAAGCTATAATAAAATAAGTGTTATATCCAATCTGCTTTTTCTCTCTCTAGGTCTAAGTAGTAGTTTTCATTTGTTTTGCTTTGTAGGACAGCAATCCTGGAATCAGCATTATGAAGGCAGATTATCTACCATCTTCTGTTCCACATGTAAGAAGTGCACCTGCTGGCATGGATGGGGCTGGATGAACAAATATTATTTCCATTTTTATTCTTCAATATCTATCCCTGTATATGTATACTACAGCTATCCACACATCTTTATTCATTTTTTCTTCCTGAAAGGGGGATGAGTTTCTACCAGTCCTTTCCAAAGGCTCTGAGCGGGGCTCTGGATTTAGTCGGCAGAAGGATCTTCGCCTTGGTTCTTCAGTAAGTGACAGCTCTGTGTTGACAGAACAGTTTTTTCCCCCCATTTCATTTTTCTCTGCTTTGAACTTCTGCTTTCGTACACAGGAGAAATGTGTCCAAAATTCTTCACAGCTATTTCTGAATTATCCTTATGTTTGTAGCTCTTCTATCTGCTATGTTTCCTTGCCTGCTTTCATTTCCCACTTTTGTCTGTTCTTCTACATTTTTCTCTAGTTGTTTTTCCCTAACAGCATCTGCAAACAGATACCTCTCTTTTCTCCACTTCTTCCTTATCAGTTGTGTATGGGCTTCCCAAACTTCCTTACACTTTTTTAGCCATTTGTCTGCTCACCTTCCATTACCTTTCCTATTTTGATTCCTATTTTTTGTTGTTGCTTATTTCTCCTATACTTCACCAACTCCTTTAAATTCCTTTGTTTGTTATGGTCCTCATTTTCACAGGGACCCAATGCAGAAGCATCTGGGCCACTGAGCCATTCTCAGTTCCAAGGCCAACAACGACAGCCTCAAACACAAACCAATCTTGTAGGACGAGAGTATGTGGGCAACAAGGTATGTTAGATATATAATATGGGAGTTATTTGGGGATCTTACAACTGTTTTCATAATCACATATTTCTTGTCTTCTTCTTGAGGCATCCTTAGTTCTGCTTTCATGCCTTTCTCCATATAGGAGCCAACGGGATTCAGCACCAACAACCTTAATTATGTGACACCTGCGTATGACCCAAATCTGCCCAACAGGTTTTTGACTAGCTATAATTCCAAGTGAGTTTGGTAGTAGTTTACCATCCATGTTAGGATAGTAACATTCAGGGAGCCAGTTTGGTCTACTGGTTAAGGCCACAGGCTAGAAACCAGGAGACTGTGAGTTCTAGTTCTGACTTAGGCATGAAAGCCAGCTGGGTGACTTTGGGCCAGTTGTTCTCCCTCTGCTCATTCAATGCCTTCAATTCAATTCAATTGGTTGATCCAATAAAAGCAGCCCCTGAACTTGCAGGAAAATGCTAAGAAGGGGAGGGGGGGAGATAGTAACATTCCTAAGCTATGGTTTTCTCTCAAAGCATATTTTTTCTATCTGTATAGGTGGTTTTGATTATTTTAGCCATATGGATCAAGTTATTCAAAGCAAGGACTTTGGAGGATGGGTAGTGGGAGCAGAGGGCAGAAAAAAATAGTGGCCCTGCTATTTGTAGAAAAATAAATATTCATACTCTAGTGTAAACTCTCAAATTGCAGGTCTGCCGTGCCAGAGGCAAGCAGTGCCAGAGTAAAGACATATCTCTGATTTATATTTATTAGAACACAAGAAGCAGTTGCTGAATCTGCCAGGCATTAATCATCTTTCTCTTTATCAGGTTTTATGAAACCATTTCAAAGGGAGTGGACAGGGAGGGCTGGACCCGAGGGGGTATACAGCCTCAGCAAGCAGGTGGCTTTGCTACGAACAACCACGGAACTGACTTAGGAAGTGATCCTAATGCTACAGAGACCTTGAGGACTGTTCATCCCCATGTTGGCAGGTGACATCATGGGGGCAGGGCTGTTTCTTTTTCTTTTGCTCCATCAAGTCATTTCTGGTGCTCCGTTGCCATTTCATCTCCTTCCCTCAGGTGCCTTCTACCCTCTTTAATTTATTTTTTTTCCAATGCTTGCCCTCTGCCATTATAGGACAATTACAACTGTTGACCCATTCTATCGCGATTCTCCCCATGATCGTCGCTTTGCTGCTCTTCATCAGACAACTGTCCCCAATTAAGTAAGTAACTTGGTCCATTGCATTTTAAGGTACTCCAAAAGCAGGGCAAAATATGATGCAGTGGTGGGTTGCCCCTGGTTTGGAGCAGTTCGCAAGAACCGGTAGTAAAACAGGCGGGAGGCTCCACCCACTGACCCTGACGTGCACACGCGGCCCCATTGCGAACTGGTAGTAAAGGTAAGTACAACCCACCCCTGATATGACGGTATTATCAGGTTAAGATACAAAAGATTATAATGATACACTGTATGAATTTAATAATTCAACTACTGTTGAGAAACTAAAGCTAAGTTTAGCGCCTCCTATGTCTACTCAAGATTTTCCAGTTTCAGAAAAAATGCATATATTTGATATTTCTCCCTCTCAACACACAGCAAAACGACACAGAACAATCAAGTCATTTTCCCTTTTCAAGAAATGTTCTAGGAACTTGCTACAGATCAATGTTGCAGGGGTGGGAATCTCACAAGTCATCAGTGGAGACTATTTTCACATTCATGCCATCCTTATTTTTCCTTTCAGCATAAAATCTTACTCTAATTTAATATGTTTGCTTCTTTCCAGCCTCTGTTCAGAAGTGAAAAGCACAATGATGTCTTTAGACTTCAAGGAACCACTCTGCACGCTAAGGAAGGAGCATCACTAATTGTACTGTCATAACGAATCTGTCTTATTTTATGTACTACTGTTTTAAAGAAATTAAGACATATATTCAAGCTATGTCTCCTGTCCTAGATTAGCACCTTGAAACAGGGATTTAAAAAACCTTTGGGATAGTTATGGTTTTTATAGAGTTTCTGCAGCTCTATAGCTGTACAAACTTTGTGACATGATGTGAGTATCTGACTAGCTGAGAGCTTTTTATGTCTCTCTAACCACACAGTAAAGATGTAAGGGCCTGTCCCCATGACACTGCTTTCATTTCATCCTTAATTCACAGTAGAAGCAGCTTAAATTTATATTTAGCTCTTCCAATTTTGAAGTGATACTTTCCACCTTCTGGGACTTTTGTTGTGGCTGTATATTTTCATGCTTTCTCGGTTACGTGGTTGATGGTACAGCTGGGCTGGGATTTGTCCAATTCACTTAGCCACTGCAGGTTACTGTGAACATGGCCCCTTCCCTCTGGTTGCTGGGCATGGCCCTCCATTGACACTTTGATTTGGAACCCAGGACAGACGAGTTTCTGCAGAAGTACCTTAAAGTATGCTAGATCTACAGTTTCCTCCCCCCCAAAAAGCCCAATTGACAGGTCAACGATGCAGCAGAGGAAAGCTTTGTGTACTGGAAAGTAGCACCTTTCAAAAAACAAACAATTGGCAGGGCACAGGCATGGAGCACTTCTATATCTGTGAGCCACCAACCCAGTAACTTTAAAGCTAACTAAACTCTCCATCCACACTTGTCTAAATGCATATTAAGAGGTGATTATGATTGCTTTTCCCGATGGCAAGTTAAGCTTGGTAGGAGAGGAGATGAAGCCAGGGAAAATCTATCAATCCTTTTTTTTTTTTAAACTTTAAGAGCAGTACTTGATCTTGTGATGGAAGCACACTAGGGCTTGGCAGTTGGGGCTGCACAGATTATGCCAGCATATGTTTTGCTAGTTCAAGAACTAGAAAAATGCATGTGAATGCAACCACAAAGAAGAACACTTAGTATGCATATGCCACTTGCAACATGCCTAGATGTCCTGGTTTGGGAAAAATTTTCTTTTCCACTTCCAAACAACTCATCACTATGTTTGTCCAATCTTTTCTAAAATCTGTTAGGGAAGATCAATATCTAAGATAAAAGTGCCACCTATCTGTGACATACTTCCTATATTATTCTTACCCACTATGTTCTGTTTGGTTCAGACTTTATTATTTATAAATTTTGGTCTTTAGTATAGCATGAGTCACAAGCCTAGCCATTGAGTAGGTGATGCTTGTGACCTGGTCATATATGTAAGTGTCACAAAACCAGAAAGAACTGCAGATAGCCAGATTCTCTTTTGGGAGACTTTTCTTATCACCCTTCTTCTATCCTGGAGGCCTTCATTTCTCATCTGTAGTGAAATGGTAGTTCCATTCTGCTAAAAGTGAAAAGTGACGGAATATTAGATCTAATGCAATGTGCCTTTACAAGTTGAACCTACCTAATCTGTGACCCATTGGGCCAGTGTTGAGAGAAAGGTAATGCAGTCCGATGTGACCAGAATGAACATTAAATGCTAAGCCAAACATATTTTTTGACCCCAATGTTGGATGGTCCTGTGATTATCTAAAAAGAGTATACAATTATTTTTCATAAGTAGAAAAATAATTGTAGTGGCAAATGAACTTCACTAATATATCAGTATTTACTAATCTAAACAAATGACCAGAATGACCATGGGTAGGCAAAAAAGCAGTGAGAGCAGGAGTTACTTCCAACTTCCTGCCAACTTCCCCACTGAGTTTCCTTGTGGGAAGCTGGCAGCAAGCATCAGAAATCACAATCACTTGACTGCAGGGATGCTACAACATCCACAATTTTGCAAATAGAACGGGTCTGAATATTGTAGAAATTTCAATTCCACAGGTGAAATGAATCCTGGGTTTTTTTAAACATATTTTTTAAGTTAGCAGATTTTAAATACCTTGATTTAAGAATTGTTGCAGTTTAATGCACTATTTTAGCTAACTTGAGGGAACAAACAGACAAACAGATAAACACAAGAGTTTTAGTACTATATAGATTCATTGAGGTACTAAGGATATAACTCCCTGATCTCAATCATATGCACGTACAGCATACAGAGGTAGAAGGATCTCTTGTTTCCCTGCACTGCAGGGTATGATGAAACATAATTCTTCTCTACTCCTCTTTGTGATACACAAACTGACAAACCTGCCTGTAGAGTTAAGAAGACTTTGTTGATTTCAGATTTGATGTAGTAAACATTCAGAAGTTGCAGAAAGCAAATCTGAAATTAGAATTCCTTCTGGTTTTTTGTGTGATTCTTAGGAAAAATTTACTCCTTGCAGACTTGAAAACTAAAGACACAGAAATGCTAGCCCCACTATCTTGTGTGCTGAATTCCTTTTCAGCATGGAATAGACACTGTGGCTTACTTTACCAGTTAGGTGTAATGCACACCAATTCTTCTTTTGTTCTCAGTTTTCTATCCAGTAATAATAGCTGCCATATTGTACTCTCTTTTTATATTTCCATTTCTCACATTTCTCCCAGTGGATGAGTTTTCACTCTGGTGTATGTTTCACGAGCTGGTAGTATTGCTGCTGCCTTACTGGAAAACATAGACCAGCTATATGTTCAGTGTGGGGTCATCTGGCATTTAATCAATTTTACACTGGACTTTGGATTAAGATAACACATTAATCCAACTGGAGAAAGGAGAAATGGCTTACAATGGTTGTACCCTTTGCCTAGCCAATCCCATGCTCTTGTTTTAGAAGTTATCATTTTTGCATCTCGGTATATGCAAGAGCTGGGTTAGGTTTGGTTTGTATGAGGGCTTCTGAAATTAGGAAAGAAAGCACTGTGAATTTCTATTTAAAACAACCCAGTCTCCATTAAAGTTATGCCTCAGCTGATTTTGTAGTCTCAAAATATGGTTTTTAATATTTCCCTTTTTTAAAGCTTCAGGAACCATTCTTATGACTTTTTGTTTTGTTTTGAATGTTTCTTTAATAATTTTAAGGCTTTGCGATAAGTGTATATTGCTTATTATCTAATTTAATTTTTAATTTTAATTTTTAATTTTATTAGATTTATATACCGCCCTACTCCCAAAGGACTCAGGGCGGTGAACAGCCAAAAAGATAAAACACACAGATTATAAAATTTAAAACAGTATAAAAACGTATTAAACAATTTGGCCCGAGACGAATTAAAACATCCCCATATTTAAAAACAGATTTAAAATTACTCATATACTGTTTAAAAGGGAAAGTTGGGCCAGACCAGCCTGTTGGAATAAAAAGGTCTTGAGGGCGTGGCGGAAGGTGCGTAAATCTGGGATCCTCCGTATCTCCGGGGGGAGCTCATTCCAGATAACAGGTGCCCCCACAGATGGGGGCACCTTTCTTAATGAAACTGTACGATAAATTCCACCTGCTGTATCATTATTGCAAGAAAAGGGGAACATTGCTACTCACTTATCATGTGTCAGCTAGCTCATGGCCACACCTTCATCATGTTGACTTTACCATCTTTTCATACACCTTGCAAAAATGTACTCTTGGCTATGCTGTTCTGTCTGAGACATACTCTCTCTGCTTTTTCCCTCCCACTGAATATCTGTGTTTGTATTTTCCCAGATGGATTAGCTGTATTTTCTGAAGATAAGCAGTCCATGCTGTCACTAAATGAGTAGGGGGTTATTGTCTCAAATTGTGTTTTTGTCCACCATGCAGTGAGTAGACAGGCTGGCATGTTTTCCATTTTGGTAAAAGCTTGTATAAGAGTAATATGATGATGCTATGGTTATCTACAGAATGGATATTTGATGTGTGATTATATTGCTGATGGCAATGTTGGAGCCTAAAAAGGAACATAGACATGTGGATCAGCTCTATATTACTAACTGGCAATTGACTCAACAGAGAGATGCAGGCATACAGTATAATTGGGAAAAAGAATCCACATCACCTTTTCCCAACCATCTGGAGTGAAATAAACGCAGAGCGGGTGTCACAATGATGTTACAATGATGTGTGTGTGTGTGTGTGTGTGTGTGTGTGTGTGTGTGTGTGTACCAAAATAACTAGAATACCAGTGGGGATTGGTACCAAAATAACTAGGTGGGGATAGGCTGAAAGCTCCTGGGGATGGGTGAATTGATTGACATAAATATCTCTCTGGATATAGTCTTCTCAGAGTACAATCTATTCTGATACTAAAGTTAATTCAGAAATGAATTAATTGCTCATTTCTGTGGGAACTAATTAAAGATCTCCAGTATTTTTTTCAGTTGCTGAATGTGCATGTGCCATCAATGTTGGCATTCATTTATGGTTATGGTTATGATCTGCTACTATGGCATGTTAGGCAGATGTAAAGATATTTGCTTACATAAAAGATAACATTTTACTTGCTTAAATAAAAGATAACATTTACCCAAAGAAACATCTATTTGGGGTTACTGATTCATTATGTACAACCCTAGGCAAGAAGACATTATAATGAGGCTTCATTATTAATTTGATTTGCTGGGTTATGGTAGTTCCATATCTTTATGTTAGTATAGCAGATACTGTAGACTTTTAGCGACCTCTCTAAATGTTGTAGCAGCAGTAGCTTCACAGCTACAGAAGTAATTTATGTGTTGGTATCTGTGATAAAGTAGTGTTTTCCTGTATTAAGGCAGAAAGACTAGAGGCCAGTGTTTATGTTACACCAGATGGCTCACGCTAAAATCAGAGGAAGAACAATGTCATGCACAGTAGGCTGTAAATATTGCCTTTTTCCAGATTGTTGAAGCAGGTAGAAATGCTTTGTCAGATTGGTTAAGCAGAGTACTTTGTCAAGCCAGTCCATGTGAAAATCTGAATGTGCTCTTGATGGGTGTGTACAACCTCCTTGATGTATTTTTAGAGGGAAGGATGCAGGAGTGTCCACAGGCAGAGTCAAAAAAGTCAAGATGGTGGCCAGAACCATGTAATTGGTTACATGGTTTTATGGTTACATTGCCTTTTTAATGTGTTGTGACATAAGGGGTAGTACGTTGATTGCATAGTTGTGGCCCCATCTTGATTTTTGAACTTCCTCTTGCAGATACCTGGAAGGATAGATCCGTTCTGCAGAGATTCCAGTTACTGTACTGTCACTACAAAACGAAGCAGGTTTCAACTTTGCAGCTAATTGATCTGTTTGAAATGTGGACAGAAAGCTTTCTTACCAAATCGTTTTGAACAATTTGAGGATATGACTTCTCCAATTTCCTTAACTGTATACGATATTCATTATTAAAATGATGTTTCCAGTTGACAAAATATTTCTTGGCTTTTTTCCGCAGACTACTGTCAAGTAGCAGCAAAGAAATCTTTTGAATCTTTAGATACAGGTAATTTTTGTTTTACGACCACAATTGAGGCCAAAATTGCTGCTGTTGTGAAACATTTATTGAGTTTTGCCCCGTTTTACGACCTTTCTTGCCACAATTGTTTAGTGAATCACTGCAGTGGATAAGTTAGTAACATGGTTGTTAAGTGAATCTGGCTTCCCCATTGATTTTGCTTGTCAAAAGGTTGCAAAAGGTGATCACATGACCTTGGGACACATCTGCTGCGCCTTGGTGGCGCAGCAGACTAAAGCGCTGTTAAGTAACACCAGCTGCCTGCAATTACTGCAAGTTCAAATCTCACCAGGCTCAAGGTTGACTCAGCCTTCCATCCTTTCGAGGTAGGTAAAATGAGGACCCGGTTTGTGGGGGCAATAAGCTGACTTTGTATAAAAAAGAACACCGCTTGGTGGCCCCCCGAAAGCCCTACTAAGCAGGTATATACAAAAGTATGAAGGCTATTGCTTAACGCATTGTAAGCCGCCCTGAGTCTCCGGAAAAGGGCGGCATATAAATCGAACCAATAAATAAATAAAATAAATAAGTATGAACCGGTTGCCAAGCATCTGAATTTTGATCACATGATCATGGGGCTGCTACGAAGTTCATAATTATGAAAAACGGTCACAAGTGCTGGTATAACTTTGAACGGTCATTAAATAAACTGTTGTCAGTTGAGAACTACCTGCATTAGATTTCAGTTCTCAACAACTTTGATGAAATGGAAGCAGCGTAGTTGCAGCATTAGGAAATTGTTCTTTATTTTAAAAAAATTACATGTTTTGTTGGTTTATTTTAACAATAATCTGTTAAAAGAAAACTTTGATTGGTGGGGTTGACAGAAGCTGAAATCCAGCCTCTGGAAGGCAAGAGTTGCATCCTGCGGTCTCCTCTCCTATTGGAAACATTTCAAGTGGAGGGAAGAATGAACACTGAAATTGGAAAGTAGAGTGGTCCCCTTGTCCATGTCTTCCGAGGGGCAAAGAAGAACCGAAACTTTGTTTTATGGAGATGCTGCCCTTCTCGCAGCACGTTAAAAGGACGGGATCCCCCACCCGGCTGGGCTGCCTATCCGGATGCAAAAGTAGACTTGGGAAGCTGCTGGAGGCGGCAGAGGCGGCAGAGGCTGAGCCGGGTGGGTCTCCGCATTCGGCGGGAGCGGCGGAGTCCATCGCGGCTCTGCGCGCCACCGAGTAAAGCGGAGCCCGGCCCATTTCGTCGTCTTTTCCTCCGGGAAACTGAAGCCCCCGGTTAAAAAAACAAAAAAGGCGGAGGCGGCGTTTTTGGCGCGTCTTTGTGCTTTTTTTTTTTTGCCTAGCCGGGCTCTAAACCCGTCCTGTCCCCCGGAGGGGGCGTGCCAGGCCGAGAGTAGGAAGCGCGTAGTAGACGAAAGAACGAATTCTTAGTCCCGCCCCGTCCGATCCGCTCGGCTCCGCCATAGGCGGACGATCCCGCGTGGGGGTTTCCATGGAAACGCCGAGTCGCTAGGCGCCCGGCTCATGTGTGGGAGTCTCGCTCAGACCTAGCGGGGACCCGGGAGGGAGAAAGCCCGGGAGGGCGGAGGACCCGCGGGCCGGCCGTCCGCCGTCTAGAGAAACCGGTCCTCTGAAGAGCTTGAGCTGGCGGTTCCTTTCTGAGGCCCCTGGTTATGGACGGCAGCTGGCGCGGTAACCCATCCTTCGAGGTGAAAGGATGGGCTGGTCCTCGGAGGCGGACAGGCAACCGGGCTCTTGGAGCTTAATCCATCCGATGCCCGGCGGGAACGCCCTCCGCGCTCCTCCGGCTCTGGGGTCACAGATGGCGAGTCCAAGAGCCACATCCCGGAGTCCAGCTGATTGGAGGACCCCAGTCTTCCGGTACAGGAAAGGGATTTGAAAGAGGAGCCGGCCTGGCAAGGCTCATCTTCCACCGGAGAATCCTTCCAGGAGGAACCCAGTCTCAAGGGCTGGTGGAGCTTAGCGGGTTGCCATGCCTTGGAGGATTCCCGGTGGAGGTGGTGGCATTCATCCTGCTCACACCTTCCCTTGTCTCTGAGGATGGGCAGTGGTGGTTCCTCAGGCAGGGAGGAGCGGCTGCCATCAGTGGCTGAAGAACAGCTGAGTGGAGGGGATCAGATGCTAGAGCTCTCTGGGCGCCACCTGAGGAAGCTGCCCACGCCGGTGTGTGCCCTGAGCACTCTGCAAAAGCTCTACATCAGTGGCACAGGGATCACACAGCTGCCTGCCGAGATTGGGGGGCTACAAGAGCTGCGCATCCTGGCCCTGGACTTTAACAAGCTGGAGGAAGTGCCTGAAACCTTGTGCCGCCTTCCCCACTTGACTCGTCTCTATCTGGGCAGCAACCGCCTCTTTGGCCTCCCTGCGGAATTCTGTCAGCTCAAGACTCTCCGTTGCTTGTGGATTGAGAGCAATTATTTGTACCACTTTCCCCAGGTTCTCCTCCAGATGCCCGAACTGCAATCCTTGCAAATGGGAGACAACCGTCTCAAAACCTTACCAAGTGGCCTGCCACGCATGAAGGGTCTTCGAGGACTTTGGTTGTATGGAAACCGTTTTGAGGAGTTTCCAAAACCTTTGCTTCGCATGAGTCAGCTTCATATTCTTGATGTTGACCGTAACAAGCTGACTGAATTCCCTGACTTGAGTCACCTGGGGAGGCTACGACTTTTCTCCTATGACCATAATCCAGTTGAAGCACCTCCCTGTGTGGCTGACACTGTCTTTGTAGTGGGTGAGGGAGCACAGGAATTCATGGAGGCGAGGGAGGAACGTCTCCAGGCTCTTCGACAACAGAAAGCAGAAGAGCAGGAAGAGAATGAATCTGAAGTTCTACAACCCAATATGAAAAATGATTCCACTGTATTGGAGGAGGAGGGCAGCTTTTCTGCTCTGGAATGCTCTCCTGAGGAGACATGAAATATTAGTAATGGCATGATTGCTGCTAAAGAAATCTAGGAGGTACGGATAGGTTTTCAAATCTGCAACTGGCTTGCAGAAAATTAAGAGCTGGGCACTCCCCCTTGTCTCAGGAGTTGCAGTCAGAGGCAGGATTGTGGGTAGCAGATGACTAAAGTAGTTGATAGTCCCTTGTAAAGAACATTGATCACCTATTCATCAGAAAGCTTGTTGTCTTGTTATTCTGAATGGAATCATGGGCAGCCTCTGCCAAAATGTCTGTAGTGCTCTATGGGTAATTTTGTGTTCTGTCTAATCCTAGGGCACAACTCCCTAATTTGAAGTATCTATAATGACCACATATGGTTGACGGAAACAGAATTTCAGATTGACATTCTATTTGTCTAGCATTGTAAAGTGAATCTCAAAAGCAAGACAGGATAAAGCCATTTTTTTTGGTTTATTCTCCAATCCATCCCCATAATAATTAACTTGCATCATCAAAATTTCATTCCTATAACTGGAATTAGATTTGGAGGGAAACCTATTCTTCAGCTGTTAGGTTTGAGAAGAAGCTCAGGTGAAATCCTTGTTTGTGCATAGAGCTATTTGTCCTGGAAAAGCTTTGCTTCTATTCTTTGTACAGCAGGAAAAAGGGTCATGCATTACTCTGTTGCTTTCCTGGACTTTCTATTCCCTTAAAGGGGCACAGAAGCAAAACGGATATGACCTTGGCCACTGCAGATTTGCATGGATCTAGAACCGAAGAGGGAGGCAGCCACAGGACTTTTTCTTGTATGGGAGTGTGACAGGTTCATTCTCCTGGGGTCCTTCGGGCTAGATTTGTATTAAATCTAAGCAATAAAAGCCCGTTAGAGAAGAGAAGGAGGGAAGGGCACACATTCTCAGGGAGATTGCTACAAAAGCAGGAGACCAAAGGTGCGAGGTATGGCTGTTTTAAAGAGAGTTGTAAACGAAATTACAGTACCTGGTGAATGGAATCATGTTTCTCAGGCATCCTTGTTACATATTTTAGAAATCCTGCTTTTGCTATGTCTGATCATGCACTTTTCTCTGTTTTCCTGCTTCTGAGATGTCTTTATTTCCCCTTTCTGATTTCCTTGCTTCCGTAGTTATCTGCTGCTGTCCTTCCCTGCCTCCCTTTTGAGAACATATTTCTTTGTCAATTATGTTCAGTCTTTCTCTGGACTGATAGCACTTTGCTCAGCCTCAATTTCAATATCTCTGCTGACACAATATGGTAGCCAGCATCAACAAAGTTAAAAGTCTTTTTCTTGGATTAATTTTAGCCATATAATGAACATTTATGCTATATTTTGTCTTATTATAGTTTATTTTTCATTAATTTTTCATTAATATATATATGAAAATATATATCTCCCCCTTCATTCTCACTGTTGTCTTTTTCTGACAGAAAAAAGAAGAAAGACTTTCCTTTCAATGTTGTACAGTGATACTGAGTGCAATTATCAGCTTCACCTTTTTTTCCTTTTTAATTGGTTGCAACCATTTACATGACATGTTTTCACACCCTTGTTAGGCTAACCACCTAATCACTGTGCTTTTTTTGTGTGAGAAATCTCATACCATGGATGTTCAGTCACACACCTAAGTCATTCATATGCAGCTTCTGCTTCATAGCCACATGGTGCTGTCATAATTGAACTACACAGTAGCAATTTTTGTTGGCTTCCATATCCATTTTTAGCATCGCAGTGTTTACTGCAGTAAGTGATGCCATATGTTTGAAATATTAGTTCAATAGTTGAACTGTTGGAACATTTTGTCAAAGCAGACAATAGATTTGGCATGACATAGGTTGCCACCTGAACTAGGTCAGTATTTACCAAACTGGTGTTTTCCTCTTCTAAGAGGTTCCGTACAGTAATTGTCTCTGTATTCATTACAAGAATTCAAAAGTGAGAAAGAATTCATTTCTCACTTTTAAGTGGATTTTCATCATGGCTGTAACCAACTCTCTAGCTGTGTATTAACCATAAGAACTTGAAAACATTCA